TAACTACACCAGTCACGTGGTAACTAGTGTAGTTAGCCTGGTGGTCACCACCCGGCTAACTACACCAGTCACGTTGTAACTAGTGTAAGTAACTAGTGTAGTAACTAGTGTAGTTAGCCTGGTGGTCACCACCAGGCTAACTATACCAGTCACGTGGTAACTAGTGTAGTTAGCCTGGTGGTCACCAACTGGCTAACTACACCAGTCACGTTGTAACTAGTGTAGCTAGCCTGGTGGTCACCACCTGGCTAACAACACCAGTCACGTGGTAACTAGTGTAGTAATGTAATAACTAGTGTAGTTAGCCTGGTGGTCACCACCTGGCTAACTATACCAGTCACGTGATAACTAGTGTAGTTAGCCTGGTGGTCACCATCTGGCTAACTACACCAGTCACGTGGTAACTAGTGTAGTTAGCCTGGTGGTCACCACCTGGCTAACAACACCAGTCACGTGGTAACTAGTGTAGTAATGTAGTAACTAGTGTAGTTTGCCTGGTGGTCAACACCTGGCTAACTATACCAGTCACGTGATAACTAGTGTAGTTAGCCTGGTGGTCACCACCTGGCTAACTACACCAGTCACGTGGTAACTAGTGTAGTTAGCCTGGTGGTCACCACCTGGCTAACAACACCAGTCACGTGGTAACTAGTGTAGTAATGTAGTAACTAGTGTAGTTAGCCTGGTGGTCACCACCTGGCTAACTATACCAGTCACGTGATAACTAGTGTAGTTAGTCTGGTGGTCACCACCTGGCTAACTACACCAGTCACGTGGTAACTAGTGTAGTTAGCCTGGTGGTCACCACCTGGCTAACAACACCAGTCACGTGGTAACTAGTGTAGTAATGTAGTAACTAGTGTAGTTAGCCTGGTGGTCACCACCTGGCTAACTATACCAGTCACGTGATAACTAGTGTAGTTAGCCTGGTGGTCACCACCTGGCTAACTACACCAGTCACGTGGTAACTAGTGTAGTTAGCCTGGTGGTCACCACCTGGCTAACAACACCAGTCACGTGGTAACTAGTGTAGTAATGTAGTAACTAGTGTAGTTAGCCTGGTGGTCACCACCTGGCTAACTATACCAGTCACGTGGTAACTAGTGTAGTTAGCCGGGTGGTCACCACCTGGCTAACTACACCAGTCACGTTGTAACTAGTGTAGTAACTAGTGTAGTAGTAGCTAGTGTAGTAACTAGTGTAGTAGCTAGTGTAGTAACTAGTGTAGTAGCTACTGTAGTAACTAGTGTAGTAACTAGTGTAGTTAGCCTGGTGGTCACCACCTTAGGTTGTTATTCTGTTAACGGGAAGTTACCCCGTGTGTTGGAACTGAATAAATGTGTTGCCTCCAAGTCTACGTCTGCGACTCAGTTGAACCCACTACACATTTAAACATACAGCAACATTACTGCCTTTCGCCAATAATTATCGGTGAGATCACCACAACATTTGTGCTATTCTAGGTACACTCTGAGGCTGATCGGAGTGGAGAGTGTTGGCATGAGTGTACAACACACATGCTCACATGTGTAGTGAGTCCAACTGAGTCACAGACGTTAACTTGGAAGCAACACTATTTATTAACACAACAAGAATGAACATAACACAACCTTACGCTCGGGTCTCGAATGCCCATCTAGCCACGCTACGGCAGAACTAGACACGGTTCGCTATCCCGGTCCGGACCACGAGCTGGGTCCCGGACCGCGTGGCTAGAGGCTTCTTCTCCCCGACGTGGATCTTCCAACACCAACACTTGAAGAACCCCGAGCTCCTCACGGAGCTCTCGTTATACGCTCCTGGGCTGGGGCTGTCTCCACCCTTAGCCCCGCCCACCTTCCAGGCTCCTCGAGCTCCTTCTCGAATGTTGCCGAGAGCTCTCTGGGACCACGTGACCACCCCTCAGCCCCCGTACTCCGGTGGCCCCCCTCCAGTATCGTCCGGTCACGTGACAACAGGTCAGCCAGAGTATCATGCCCCAGAGTAACCCTGGCTGGCTGACGCTCGCTCCCTCACTGGGAGCCGGCACCGCACGCTGCTCGCGGTGTCTCCGCGCTAACCAGCGCTCACCCAACCACCGCTAGGGCAGGTACTACAGCCCGTAACCCGGGCTGCCCGTAATGACAACATTACCGGCTTCGCAAGTCCCGGCACCACACAGTGACAAGTACACTCACTACACATGCATACACACAATGCACATACATACACGCATACACATTGCACGTTTTCGCCCACATACGCGCACACTGTGCTAAGGCGCAAAATGTAAAAAAATTAATATTTTCAAATCTTTAAGTTTATTTATGGATATTAATCAAGAAATATCCCAGTTAAGTCATATTGTAAAAATACAAGTGTATAACCGATTTAGCCCTCGCTATGGGAATGTGGAATTTCCATCACTGGCTCAGTTCCACCAAGAGAGACGAGCGATCTTCCAGTCAGCTTGAGCATGGCGACACGTTGACCTTTTGCTTTTCACTTATAGTCTGTTGTCGCATTTTCACTCAATGCATGACAGCTTCACCATGATTGGGGATGTCTCAAAGCCACAATAGGATTGAAAAAAATTGGACTGCGTTGTGATGATTATTTAATCATTATAATCATTTTCTGATCTGCGACTTGCACACTTTGATCCAACAAGTTCCACTGCTTGAGCCTAGACGTCAAAAGCTCGGCATTGGACTTGGTGAGACCAAGATCTCTGATCAAGTCGTTGGGGTCATTTTGGTTGGGGTAGTATGGGTTTCTCTCCTCAGCTCTACTTCTGAAATTGTCATCTGGATCTACGTCTTCCTCACTCTCTGACTTGCTGCTCTCTTCTAAAGACGGCTGCTCTCTCTCCGGAGGAGTGAGTACGGGGAGCTCATGGCAGTGTGGCACCGGGGCGATGGATGAAGGAAGGTCCAGATACGTGATAGCAGGTGCATTATTGCCAGTCCGACGTTTGGAAGGGTCCACCATGTAGAAGTAGCAGTTGCTTGAGTGGTCAGTGGGTTCCCGCCAAATTCTTGGGATAGCGAACTTCATGGCTCTCTTTTCCCCTCTGTAACATCCTACAAAAACACATTTATTTCATCCATAACTAATGTGTCAGAGATTCTCGCAACATTTTTCAAATATGATATTTTTTAAATAACATTAAAATTGTAAAAAAAAATTTAAAACTTTTACAATTTAAAATGTTTTAACAAATTTTATAATGTAAAATTCCGAGCAACAATTGTCCATCTTACCTTCCAGAGTTTTTTTTTCATAGCTCACAGGTGAAATGAGGTGCCCAGGGTTTGTCTTGATCCCTGACAGGCATGCCGAAATATGCCTTGTAGGCCTCACACATCTTAGCAGATGCTTCCACAGAGTAGTATTTCGCTCGTCTTGATACATTGGCCACAGCAAAATGCATCTGCCAGTTGCTTGCAGTCTCTTGATGCCATATCAGAAAAATGCAGATATGTATCCACTTAGACAGCTGGAATTAAACTGAACTGGTGGGCTTAAGGCCCCTGTATTTATACTATTTATATTACTGGAAAATTCTAGAATGTTCTAGAAGTTACTCCAAGTTTACTCAGCACTGAATCTATCTGGAATGTTCTGGAAAATATGTAAATTTCTAAATATCACTGTCCTGGTCACAAAAGCAAAGTTAGTGGGGAATAATAGCCATTTTCTGTACTTTTGAGGCATGAGCAATTAGGAAATAACACTTACTACCCAGGAAGAGCAAACAATTGTTACACAGTGTTGTCCCTAATAAGGGTGAAACCGGTTCAGTTGTCTCTCTCTTATGCCTCAATCTTAAAAGGCCTTTTCAAGATCCAATTTCGTGTTGGATACACATCTCTTTTGATTTAAAGCTTTCGTGACTGCAGTAATTCATATTCTTAGCTCTTTCGTTAAAGTCACGTTGAAGGGAAACAATAAAATAATAATAAAATATTTTTTTTATTGTTTCCCTTCAACGTGACTTTACCGAAAGAACTAAGAATATACATCTCTTGTACAGGGTGATGAAACGTCTCTATGCAATAAATGGCTCCGCACACAACCTTCAAACCATGAACTGAAGTGAATATGAAAAGATCCCATTTTACAACACAATACATGCAGAAGAACTGAATAGTGCATCTCAGGACATGTGTTGAGGGTGGATGGTCAAAGGCTCCAAAAGTTTGCAAATATTGTGAATCTGTAAAAAAAAAAACCTGTTGTGCTGCACACTACTGTCTCCTTGTGCATTGCCGAGTTTACGAATGGTGGTGGATCACACCGAAATGGAGCCATAATCTGTATGAAAATGACGTGCTATGTGAAAATATTTTATGTTACTAGGTAAGGCCCACTGAGATACACAGCTCTTTTTCAGAAGCGACCTGGCCACAAATGATGGCCCAATGAAGTGGCTTATCACGTGGACATGTATAGAAGCCAAATACCCGAAGCGCATGTTTCTTTAATGTGGAGGGAAAAAAACCGGACGACCCGGAGAAAAATCCACACGCCAACGGAGGGGCCATGCAAACTCCAAATTTAAAGGCGTCAGGGTTCAGGATCAATCCCACGGACTCCTGCATACCAAGCGAGGTAGTTAACGCCTCGCCAAGGCAGTATAGCAAGTATGTTTCTTATGTTCTTACTTGGTACGTGTTTTTATCAGGGGCGTTCAACTTCCACCAATGTGTGTCGATAAAAAATGGGACAATCCGAATCAGAATCCTCCATACTCTTTGGTTCTTTCGGTAAAGTCACGTAGGTACATATATAAAAATATACGTAGGTATATTTTATATCTACGTGACTTTACCGAAAGAACCAAAGAGTATGGATTCCTGCAGTCACGAACGCTTCAAATCAAGATAGAATCATCCATATACAGGAGACTTGAGACTCAATGAGAACATTCCTGTCCTGAGCAACAAGAGTCGCTCACTCATCACACACGCTAATGATGACGCTACGGTTATAAAAATAAGATGGTCCCAACAACAGAATTGTTAACTTCACAACATTTATTACTACAACTTCGCAACAAAGGAGTTCTCGTACACAAACACACCACATGCTACATGTACAATCCACTGACACATCAGCGCCACATTTCAATGCAGCTGTGCACCGCCCCCCCCCCCCCTACAAATTAACGCCTGCTTTTAAAAACTAAGCCCCCTTTAAATAAAGTTGTTAATCAACAGGATCCTGTGTTTTATCTATTTTAAGCAGTACATTGAGCAAGTGCACAAGCCGGATTGGAACACCAAACACAACTTACTGGATTATTGCGTCACTTCGTCTGTGTATCGTTTACAGGCTTGGGTTGGGGTATTTGAAGGATGAATTAGTTTAGGATAATTTACACACGAGCACTACAGGCTTAATGCTATTGCGATATATCAGATGCACGTGCTATGACTGTGACTACCACTAGCAAGCAACACATTGCTGACAACTCACAAGATACGGTGGTAAAGTGCACTAGATAGTGAAAATATCAGCAAATACTAATTCCTATTTCGTTCTTTTTATCATCTTCATTTAAGCACTAAGTCTGGACTGTATTGCAGAATTAAGAGTTACTTTTTTTGCACGGAAACAGATTTGTTGCCCAACGTTGGCAAAGCTTTGTGTTTCTCTTGGAAAGGTAAAATAGATTTGCTGGGCCTGCACGTGCTAAATTGTGTTTTCTTTTTCACCAACAGGAGGGTGGGATTTCCCCCAAAAACAAATACTTTGCATGGGTCCTTAATCTTCCTTTTGTCCCCAGCTTTCTTTGCAGCTTTGCCGCTTGCTTCACCAAACCGACCTTTTGTTAAGAGCAAAACGGCTTCTTTTTTTCATCCTGCTACAAAGCAAAAAAAATACCTGGAAAATTCGACACAATCACAGAATTCAATAGATTCCCAGCCACCTCAGTGGTCAACAGAGCACCTGAGGCTTCAGAAAATTACGACACGGAGGCTGCATTTGACGAACAGTTGTCTGCTACAGAGCAACGATGTAAAAGCAGAAATGTGAAATACATGACTAAAGCAAACACAGCAGCAGGGAATTGCCTATAAACGGCAGATAATTTGAAAATTAATGCAATAAAACTCTTTCAATATTGAAGCTCTCTTTTGAGGAATGTTTCTACTTTTGATCATGCGACCACAAGCAGCCAATCAAAAATCTGTCTGCCTTCACATTTGAATACGATTTTTTTTAAATACTGGGGATGTTTTTTATATTCAAGCTGGCTGCAGGGATTGAATGGCCACCTCAAAACACAAGCACCGAGTCTGTACCAGCGAGATCCTTGATTCTAAACCAGGCATTAACCATCTGTGAATAAGGTCAAGTATGCATGCATGCATGTTAAACTTTTTTCACACCGTACATAGCCCACGGTGCTAATCGGAGGTAGCGAGTTGGATTCATCTCGGTCATCAAGGAGTGCATAAGAAACCCTGTGCTGCGTATTAAATTACGTTTAAATTTAACTCAGCCTCGTCCAGCTCTGAGGACTACATTTTATTGTAATCAAATGTGACAAGCACTCTTCAGAGACATTATGAAGTGGGCATGGGTATTAGGTTAGCAAAGCTTGTTGAAGTGAATCCATAAGAAATGCTGCAATGTCATCTTCTGGTGCATATCCTAACACTTTCAAATTCAAAACATCTATTCGACTAATAACTCAACTCCAACGGTACTATTTATGGTTATATTTGGTCATAGAAATACACCAAAAATGGCTTAGAAGCCAGAGACTCCACAGCATGCAGTTTGCCAAACTTCTTGACATCAACTGTAAGGAGACTCTCAATGTTCTGAGGTCTTAAGTACAACCCGTATTCTAGAAGTCAATGTTATTGGAGGTTGGCTACAGTTAGAGCGAAGATGACCACACATTGAGGAAATCGGGTTCAGTGACTGGAGGGCAATGTGAAAATTACTTATTTTCCTGGCAAAAATTACGATTAATGTTGACACTATGGCAAGGCAATATTGACAAATACGAAATCGTGCCAGGAACTTTGTTTCGTGGATAGATTAATGTATGTTTTACAAATAAATAAATGTCCATACTTATTTATGCAATAAATATACTTACTGCTTAGGGAAGCTGTGGTTAGAGTGGCTGGCCTCCATCATAAGGTTTTGAATTTAAATCCAGTCGGGTGTCAACTCAAATGTTTTCCAAATTCATTATCATCCTCAGCCATGATCTATCCATTGTTGGAAATGAGCACTGGAGTGAAAATTACCACTTCTGCCTATCATGATTTGTTGAGGCTTACAATGCCAGGTAAAGGATGTGTGAACAAGGATGTGCGAATAGAACCACATGGCCCTATATGGGCTAGAGGATGGATACGGTTTGGCCTGAGATTAGGGTAAGGTCAAGGGTGTTCCTTGCATCACAATTATTTTGAACCGGCAGTATTTTGTTCAGCAGTGCTGCCCCATTTTCTTCATTTGATCGTGGAGATACTTTGATTTGTGAAATAATAAGATAAAATTAACCGAATACCTTTCCCTTGTTTGAAAATTATCACGTCAGTTTTACTCAAACTTCAGCCTCATATTCACATGAAGTGGTATGCCAAATGTGGCAACAAAGCACAGCGATTAGCCCAGAAACATAATAAGTATGGTTTGTTTGAATGACTTGCATGCCAACACTTGAAACAGGGTGATTACCGGAGAGAGTCTGAACCAGAGATACTGAATACCGGGTGTCTTTCTGTTCATATCACATTCTATAACAAAGAACTGTTGCAAAGTATAGCCAGCATTTATCATGAACTCAAACTCTGCTGGGCACAACTCAGGTAATTTACTCTGTCGGGACATCGGGCAGCAAATGTAAGAAGAATACACGAGGCAACTTTAATTTTGACAAGAGCTCCAAAATCTTATCCTCAAAGCTGCGACTAGCGACCACTGCAATCTGTCCACAGGTCACCTCAACAAATCACCACTGGTTGTATCTGTGGTCACTGCAACCTAGTGATCCACTGCAATCAAAATAGTCAAGGAAATACATAAGGGCATACTGATACAATGTGCCACGTGTCCCATCTGCTCTAAAAAAAAACAAGATAGCATGCTAAAGCAATGATACACGAAAAATTGCATTCGAATGAGGACTTTTTAGACAGACAGCTATAGATTGTTGCTGTGGCTCTTTAAAGATGGCAAATGTGAAGATTTATGTAGCCGTGTTAACAGCTGCACGCATGTCAAATCTTAAAAAAAAAGGCACATCACGAGAAACATATGGCCCAGCACAATCTGTGATCGGAGCAGCACAAACGACTGGAGCGTTACTATCGGGTTTAGTGGTAGGGGTGTTCGCTATGTCGAGCATAACACTGCCAACACAGCCCAGCATCTCACATGCAAAAAAAGGTGATACAGCAGTGCAGCTAATATCCACATGGAGTTAAGCATGAATAAACGTGGAGCAGTGATAGTTAAGCCACCAGTAATGGAACGGCATCGTGAAGCGAACCAGTTAAGCGCTCCTATCTCCACCCTTCCATGTACAGTGCTGTATTTAATTACCAAGCCTAATTAAACGGAGGTCTATTTCTTTCGTTTCCAACAAAAGCAAACATTCCCTCATTTGTGAAACATGTATGCTGTCACTGGCAAATTAATCAATCAACAAATATTTTTTTTGCGCGTGAAACAAAAGAATTGCATAGCAACCCCTGTAACTGCACTCACATTTAGGTGCTCAGTGTTCAGCATATGCTGAGAATAATGTTGAGGTTTTTTTACATTTACAGGGATCACCATGGAGTAAATGACTCATGTAGAATAAATAATTAGTTAATGTTGTGTGGCGCAAAAAAAAATTTACCGGACAATAATTTTAAATCATCCCTCGACCTGTTTGTTTTTGATGATTTAGGAAATGAGAGGAACTGAGTGACCCCTAAAATGGTGGCAGGTAATGATGCGCATATGAAGCAGATATCAGTGATCACATTCCTCGTAGCTTCGTTCTTTCCTTAATCAAATTGCTTGTGGCCTTTATTGAGTTTGTTAGCATCTCACGGTGCTCACATCTTAACGCAATTGACCATTCAAAATAAAAGCACCATGCAAGTTAACTTTTAAGTCACTCTCCTCTGCTTCAAATTGGGCTGTGATTTTAAACGACAGCCACCACTTCTTCCATCTGTTCGAATTTTTAGTGAAACGGGGAAGAGACTGTGTGCTTCCAAGTTCCCATTTCATTTATTTGTGTGTGAAACGCACGGCATAAAATTTAAGGAAAACATTTAACAGTGCTTTTTTGGTAACCACCTAATCAATCAATGCTTTGCATTAATTCAAGACAGCCTCGACGCCCACCAATACATCTATATATTGTGCTTTGGCCCATCTGTGCTCCGGGTTTAAACATCCATTTATTGAGCTCGATGCTAAGTTTAGAACTATCCTGCTAATTACGTGCATTAGCATCGCATCTGCACCGCATCACGGTGTGGCAATCCAGAATAACTAAAACAGTTTGCACGCAGAGAGCGCTGTCCAATGGCTCGCGTAACCTCCGTGTGGGATTCGTGTAATAAGACGAAACGGTGGCCTTTAAATTACGCAATATCGATTTCAAAACATTTATATCACATGGGGTTAGGGTTGTAGTCAGGCATAGGACTAAGTGACCGGAATACAGAAGCTGCGGTGGCATCTAGGTTATGTTTAGAGGTTAGTGTGTGGCTCAGGTTAAGGTCGATTCAAATTAAATATTGGGTTAAGTTTAGTTCACAAGACAATGCATCTGCAGAAACTAGTTAATGCCAGGCAAGGTTACTGTTCATATTACTTATTCATATTACTTGTTCATATTACTTAAAGGTCCAAACGTGGCTGTTCCTGCATAATTCCAAGGCTCTACACAATTATTTCTTCATTTAACAAATGTGAGTCTGCATTATAGGAGGTCATGACTGTATCAGACAATTAGCCCTTAGACTATGGGGTTCGCCTTCTCTGTTGTTTATAATTTTAGATGAAACCAGGTTCTAATGTTTGGGTAATTCTTGGTATTTTTTTTATGTATATACGACTGCACGAAAATATTCCCAAGAGACACGTTATACAAATTTATATTGTTTCATTGAATGTGGCCTAGTCCACCATGAGGAATAATTTTAGGCTAGTGCATTTGGATTGCATCGGTAATTGTTAGCATCAGATCGGATGGTAAGATGCTGTGTCTATCGCGCATGACTCACTATTGAGAGTTCAAATTCTGGTTAGGAGTAAACCGAACACATAACCATTATTCCATGATCAAATCAGCGGTGGGTTCTCCAGGAAACCAGCCTGTAATGTGGAATTTCCACTCCTGTCTCAGGATCCACAACTGAGATGAACACCATCCCCTTTCCTCGTTTGAGCAGGGATATACTTTGACTTGACTGATCTGCTTAGTATCAGGGTTACGCTACCTGGAGGCCAGTGTTATAGGGTGAATGTATGGTGTAAGACTTAATAGGGCTTTAATATTCGACTACGTTGCCGACAGGAATGAGCTTAGAACTTGGGTGCCTCAGCAGCCCGCCGAGCTGCCACATGCTCCAGGTGCCCCTCAAGGTCCGAGATGTCGTAGCTGGTGCGGTACTTGGCCAGGATCTTGAGCATGGGTCTCAACTTCAGCCACCACTGCTCAGCTGGGATGCGTCGTCTGTGAAGGCATAGATCACCTGTTAGGCCTCAAGAGAAAAAAATATTATAGGATATGTTTCAGAAAATGGCTCTTTTTCACAGCACATTGATCAGCAACCTGCTTATTGTACTAAAATAAACACTCATGTGAATTCTGTATCACCAGATAAAAAAATAAATGTTCAGTTTACTGGCCTGTTCGTTTTCCTAGACTTGTGTGAACCAGCATATTTGTTTAAGCAACCATTTTTTAGAATGGTCACGACCTTCTGGGTCTCATCAGCAAAGTAGGACAGAGTTAACATAAGTCGAGAGAAGCCAGCAGGCTGATATCTTTATTTGGAGATACAAAGGGGGAGATCGATATGTTAATTTTACTACCCATAACGTTCCACAATAGCGCAGAAAAGTGTTGTTTATGCTTATTGTACGGTCTTGCACAGACCACTTGACAGACCTGCACTTTGATGTCTTAGGCATATGATGAGCTCAGCGTGACCCACCAATCGGATTGTTCAAGAGCTGGATTAGAGGCCAGCATGCATCTGCACATGGTGGTATTAAATTATATAGGTGTTTGGTGACATTTTAAAGCCTCTGACCCTCATCACAATGGGTAAGGTTGAGAACAAATATTGCCTCTGTACACAGTGAACTAAGTAGCAAGGAGTTTATTGATGCAATTTTGCTTCTGGAGGCAAAATAAAACAATTTGTTCCAATGACGGGAGACAGAGCATGCTCATTTGAAGGTCAGCAAATACAATCTCATACTCACGCACATAAAAACAGACTCTCATCCCAAGAAGCAAACAATATGCGTAAAATAAATGCTCACAAGACCAACTCTCATCACGAGGACACCGCTCGCCTTTGGCGTCTGTCCAGCTAACTGTTGCTCTAAGGATCTATAAAGCTGTTCATAAATGCCACTGGTGGATTTTATTTGCTTAAGAGTTAAACAGCAAAACCAATGGAGATAATGCCGAGAATTTATCTTTGAATTATATTAACGAGTTTGTATCAAACTTCTGCCTGTGGCAGTCGGACAGATGGATGGATCATAAAGATGTGTCAAAACCACGGTGCCCGAGATCTTGAGTTTGAATTTGGGTTTCAGCCACCTGTGACTCAGCTGCGTTCTCAAGTGCAGTTAGTTGATTTCTATTCTATTTTGTATTCATAAATCGCCTTCCACCAAGGCGCTTAACAATGCTTGCTGATTACAGTACAAAATGGCAAGATAAGGGATGGGGATCGGGTAGTCACTGGGGAGACTAGGGTGGAGGGAGCGTGGTGGAGGCTGCGGCGGTGGAGGCATTAAGGGCGTTAGGTGGTGCTGGTAGGGGTAGCGGAAGAGGAAGTGAAAAGGCAAGAGAAAAGAGATAGGACCTGAGGGCAGTGCGAAAAGAGGAAAGCGAGGGTGAGAGTCGGATGTGGAGGGGGAGTTTGTCCCAGTGTAAGGGGGCAAGCAGAGAGAATGAGCGAAAGCGAGATTGGGCGCAGGGTGGAGGAACAGCAAGAAGATGAGAAGCTTGTGACCGGAGCGGGCATGATGGGACATATAAGAAAACAAGAGAAGACAGGTAAGAGGGGCCAGTTCATGCAAAGTTTTGAAAACGGAGGTGAGTAATTTAAATAGGCGGAGGTGATAGATAGAAGGAGAGGGAAGCAATGAGAGGAGAATGGGAGGTTAAAGACAGCGGTGTGTGCGACTGAGTTTAATTTGTTGTCGAGGGGCAAGGGCGTAGGCAGGGAGACCGATCAGGACGAGTGAAGAATAAGGGGAGTGCACAAAAAGCTTGACGGCGGTGATGATGATGATGAGGGGCCGAATTTTCCTGATATTGAAAAGATGGAAGCGGCATGTGCGAGCGGTGTTGGCCATGTGGGAAGCGAAGGAAAGAGAGGAATCAAAGGTGACGCCAAGAATTTGGACGGAAGCAATCGGAGTTGGACTGAGCAGAGGGAAAGATACGGATGGGGGATGAGGAGAGCGAGAGGCGGGAAAGTGGTCTGGTCACAAATTACTAAAAAATCTCATGAAAATTAATTTGTGCTTGCACAGATTCCAAGTCTAAAATCCCCTCAAAATTGTTTTTTTTTAATTCTGACACACCGTAAGACACGTGAGGCTATGCCCACCGAGTGTGGATCCGAGCTTACTGAAGTGACTTAATTCGAGGTTTTTGTGGAAGATATTTTCTGGGGCAGTTGCTTGACATGATGTCATGCCACAATGCTCACTGGCAAAATTCCAGATAATATTTTCTCATTGCGACCAATGACACAAATGACAGAAATATTATACAATTGGAATATTTTTTTATATATTTTACTCAAAATCACAGCTCTTGTGCCCATGTACATACACTCACTGGCTTCCAATTGCATGCAGTGTGCGCATTGCTATTCCTCACCTAGAAGCATGACAAATACATATTACATAACTCTGAAAAAAAACTGGAGCCAAGTTACAACTGCTATGGATTAGAATACTTCTAATTTGTGCAATTGCTTGCACGCAAACACAAAGATCCAGATTTCACCTCAGATTAGCACGGTTGGCTAGGTACGTTGCAAAATAAGTTCAATAGACATGCAGTTTATTTAGTCTTGCAGACTGTCAGGGTAAGTGCTTTCCAAATTAAAATGTCTTACTGATGAAACAAGCACGGTTGGAAATTCCACATGGCCAAAATGCAGGCCAGTATGTCCTGAAAGGAAACTAGTGTCGATTTCTGACAAAGTGGTAGTCATTTTACCAACCCTGGAGAAAATATGGGCTGTGTTGATCTGCAACTACAACTTAAAACCTTCCATTTGTAAGACGAGCATTCTGCTACAGCCTCATTGAGCCAAGCATGCAGTCAAATGGTTCTCAGATTTATCCATCTCAAACCTTCCCAGTGTTTTAAATACAACACACATATATAACGAGATCGTCAAAGGGTTTCTGGCTATTACCTTCGCCTAGAACAGCCATTGGCCAAAACGTTGTGTACTGTTATATTATTTGGTTAAAATCAATGTGAACAAGCTGCTGAAACCAAGTATATTTAATTTTCCCTCTACAATTAATATAGCCGCCACTTCCAGATTATTTTACTGATAAATGCGTCCAATTGTTTACGCATATATATATTACACTAGCAGGTGTACCCGTTCTTCACAACGGAAAATAATCCGTTTATTCCTAGTTTAAAGTTTATTCAATGAACGAATATAGATGATGATGTTGCATGGTTCTTTGCGTTACCCGAAAAACAACGCAGAGTTGACCATGCGTCGTTTCTTATGGGGAGTTAGATTTGTTACGGCAGGCCCTCTTGACTACTGCCGTGTTTGAGAATTGTAATGTATGGGGAGTTATGGGGAGTTATATTTCTCCCGGAAGGCCCCCTTTGGCTACTGGCATCATTGGTATACCATTATCCCTAAAGCAATGCTTCTTTGTAGACAATATTGCTAGTCTTTCCTGTAGGAGCTAGTATGAACAAATTGTCTTTGTCACTAACTCTAGAGCAAGCCACACAAAGATGACCATGAGAAAAGCATGAATGCCGTAAATCGATTCCAGCTACTTTGAATGACTGTCCCTGAGCTTTGGTAATAGTCATTGCCAAACAGGATTTAACCAGGAACTGCATACGCTTGAACTCAAAAGGGTAATCACTTGGAATAAGTGGTATGCGAGGTATGAATACGCATTGTCCTGCAGCACAGCCACTTAATATTGTCGACTCTATGACATAAGGTTTTAAGCTGCGCACTTGTAGCCTGGTTCCATTACAAAGAGTTGGAGCGTTGAGATTTCGCAGCAACATAATTGGGGTCCCGTGCTTGAGTTTTAGTCTGTGAGGGGGCAGGCCTGGTGGATTCAAGGAGTTAACAAACTCTACAGGGCAGTTAACAGCGTAGTCTTCTTTCAATGCAGTGTCTACTGACTCGTAGATCTTCTCCTCTCCTGGAATCTCACTTATTATAAAACACAATCAAATCGCAGATATCCGATTTTTGAAAGCTGTTCTGAGGGCTATTATGCCGCCCATTTGTGCGGGAAACATGGCCTACGCGGCGGGCTGGGGAGGGATGACGTCAGCAGGCACATTGCGTAACGCTGCCGCATGCGGGTGACATCACAGATGTGACGTGAGCGCTCACTTTCCTTGCAAAATATATACATTATTGCGCTCCCCACCCCCCCTCCCCAAAATACAAAAATGTATTTTTAGACTTGTAGCATTGCGTACGGTCTGTACGCTACCCACATGCGAATTTAAAAGTTTGTAGCATGTTGGGAAGTATGCAAAACGATACAGGTAACTCCGGAAGGGAATGACGCGAGAGCTGAAAATTGTCGCGTTCCCTTAGAAATTCCAGACAGCGTAAGCTGTGAAAATTCCATGACGTCTGAGCTCAGCGTTGGAGAGTTTTTGCTGCTTCACACAAACAGATGTATTTTCTGCTTTATATTTAATAGAGAGCTGAAAATAGCCGCGTTGACTTAGAAAATCGAGACAGCTACGTACCGCACATTTGTGCAGGAGACACAGGCCTATGCGGAGGGGTTGGGGGGGGGGGGGATGCGGGACGTCAGCAGGCACACTGCGTAACGCTGCCGCATGTGTGTGACATCACAGTTGTGACGTCACCCGCTCACTTACCATGCAAAATATATCCATTATTGCGCCCCCCCCCCCACCAAAAAAATTACAAAAATCTATTTTTATAATTGTTGCATTGTGTACAGTTTGGAAACTACCCACATCCAAAATTTCAAGTTTGTTGCATGCATGTCGGGAAGTATGCTAAACATTTCGAACACACACACACATTCACAAATTTCCCTTTCATATATATAAATAATGGTGATGTGTGATTTTAAGGTATGACATATAAGGTAAACCAGCGGTGCAATGTGAAACTACTCACTACAAATAGTGGTATGGCTTCTGCATATGCTTCAAACGCAAATAAAATATAAATATCACACGGCATTGCTCTCAATTCATTTGCA